CGCCACTGCCCTCCAGTCTGGGCGACAGAGTGAGACTCCAACTCAAAAAATAAATAAATAAATAAATAAAATAAAATAAAATGTAGAAATTTCATTTACATGGAAGGGAAAAGTTAGCATCTTCATTTATTTGTGTGTTAGTTCAAAGATGTGTCTGCATATTTTTTTTTTTTTGAGTTGAAATTTCACTCTGTCACCCAGACTGGAGCTAGTAGTACAATCACGGCCACTATAGCCTCGATCAAGCTGGGCTCAGGCGATCCTTCTGCCTCAGCCTTCCACGTAGCTGGAACTACAGGCGTGCACTACCACGCCCGGCTAGTTTTTGATTTATTGTAAAGATGAGGTCTCACCAAGTTGCCCAGCCGGGTCTCGAACCCATGGGCTCAGGCAACCCTCTCACCTCTGCCTCCCAAAAGTCCTGGGAGCCACCGTGCCGGCCTGCATATCTTTTGTGTTTGTCTTAACCATGCTTTAAAGGAGCCATTTTATTTAAAACTCCCTGAGTTTCAAGGTGATCCGCTCATCATGGTTTGCATGGGAGTTTCTCAGGAAAATCCTACACTTCAGGAAATGTCTCTGTCCTAGGCAAATTGGGACAGCTGGTCACCCTAGCTTCACAGCACTGATGGGTACTTCAAGGTTGCTTTTGGATGATGGTAATGAACACGCGTAGGCTCTGTCAGGCTCCACCAGCCAACAGCTCCGTCATGGCTTATGTCTTCTCTTGGGAGCAAGACAGAAGTCGCTTCGTTTTTCTCTTTGTTTCTGTTTCTGCAGGAGTTCCTCAAATGATGGGGAAACCTTATTTGATTTTTAGTTTTCTGTCACTATCACACAGGGTCTTTTAAATTCTGATCTACAATCTGTCTCAATGAAACTTCCGCTCACTTTTTTTTTTTTAGTTGGATTCTCACTCTGTCACCCCGGCTGGAGTGCAGTGGCATGCTCACTCGATCTGCTGGGCTTAAGTGATCCTCTTGCCGCCATCTCTCAAAGTGCTGGGATGACAGGCATGAGCCACCATGCCTGGCTACCTACTTTTCTTATCCTCTTCCTTGCAATGATATGGAATAAAGTGAATTATTTCCTCATGTGATTATACATTAAATAAAGAAATCATTACGCCCTCCCATTTTGTTTCATCTTTAAGCAACATATCTCCTACCTACTCAACATTTCTCATGTTGTTTTGCCATCTTTTTTTTTTTTTTTTGAGTTGGAGTCTCACTGTCGCCCAGATGGAGTGCCGTGGCCGCTCCCGGCCACCGCAGCCTCCACCTGCTGGGCTCCGGCGATCCTTCCGCCTCAGCCTTCCAGGTAGTTGGAATTACAGGCATGCGCTACCATGCCCAGCTAATTTTTATTTTATTGTAGAGATGAGGCCTCGCCAAGTTGCCCGGGTGGGTCTCAAACCTGCAGGCTCAGGTAATCCACTCACCTTGGCCTCCCAAAGTGCTGGGATTACAGGCTGAGCCACCGAGCCCAGCCTCTTTTACCATCATAATTACTTTCTTTGGAATAAATTTCAGTTTGATCATGTTCCTCTTAGATTGTCATTTCTAAAAATAACCAGCAGAATATAGTGGATGTGACACCTCCTTTGTTCTAGAGTCCATGCTTCCTTTAATTCAGCCTAATATCTCAGGGATTTTTTTGTTTGTTTGTTTTTTGAGTCAGGGTATTACTGTATTGCCCAGACTGGAGTGCAGTGGTATGATCTGGGCTCACCGCAGCCTCAACCTCCTGGGCTCAGGTGATCCTCTCACCTCAGCCTCCCCAAGTAGCTGGGACTACAGGCATGCACCACCATGCCCGGCAATTTTTTTGATTTTTTGGTAGAGACAAGGTCGCGCTACATTTCTCAGGCTGGTCTTAAACTCCTGAATCCAAGCAATCCTCCCACCTCAGTCTCCCAAAATGCTGGGATTACAGGTGTGAACCACTGCACCCAGCCATAGTATTTTTATTGGAAATCATTAATTTAGATTAAATTCTCATCTAGCAAAATTTAATGCATTTTTCTCATGTACTTCTGCTAGGCTATATTGCTTATCTTGTCCTTGTGCAGGATCTTATATTTAACTCGGTTAAATTTTATATCTCGGCCGGGCTCAGTGGCTCAGCCTGTCATCCCAGCGCTTTGGGAGGCCGAGGTGAGTGGATTGCCTGAGCCCGCGGGTTCGAGACCTGCCCGGGCAACTTGGTGAGACCTCATCTCTACAATAAATCAAAAAATCCGCTGGGCGTGGTAGCGCGTGCCTGTAATTCCAGCTACTTGGAAGGCTGAGGCGAAAAGATCGCCGGACCCCAGCAGGTTGAGGCTGCAGTGGCCGGGAGCGGCCACTGCACTCCAGT